TTGTTTGATGATGTTCTGACTGTGACTCTATTTATATGTTCTTTGTTGTTTTTAAATGATTGTCTGTAACTGTGGAACTGTGCTGCTGCCTGTCTTGGCCAGGACTCTCTTGTAAAAGAGATTTTTAATCTCAATGAGACTTCTCCTGGTTAAATAAAGGTTAAATAAAAATAAAAATAAAATATTCAATCTTCTTTAGAGCACCATGCCACCACAAAATCTAAACTGCTGCTTTAAGGGAGTCAAAAATAATGACACTAGTTTTGCAATAGCTACCTAGTAATTAGTAAGTGACACTAATTAATGTAAACATAACGTTTGTTGAAATCAATAGCTGGGCAGATCGAGGAGAAAGGTAAAGGTGGCCTAAATCATACGCTCTGTCAAACAGTGGGGGCAACTAAATTGTAAGAATATACTAATGGACCTGAAATAGACTTTGCTTTACAGGTTCCTGCAGACATAAACGTGACCTCACTCATAGGATATAGGATATGATATAGGATTCTTTATTACACGTGTGTGTGTGTGTGTGTGTGTGTGTTTACCTGTTGGTTGATAACCTCTAGTCTGTGCTGTTTAAGATGTGTGCATAGCCACTCTGTAGCTCGGGATGATGGGTCAATCAGGAATGGACAGGCAACACTCTACAACGATAAAGAAGTGTGTTTCAGGTCATGCAATTTTTGGGATAGTTATACTTAGAAAGAGTCTCGGGAAAAAAAGTGTGTGTGTGTGTGTGTGTGTGTGTGTGTGTGTTCTTCAGTCCTGTCTCACTGCTGTCATGCTTATCGACCAGCGTCACTCCTATGCCAGGCAAAGGAATGAAGTCCACCATCCTTGGAACCTGTGCTGTTCTATTTCATGGTCTCTTGCTCAATGATTCTCTTTATCAAATCAGCTCAAACCTGTTTATTTACCTGTTCACTCCCCACAGACTTTCCTTACTCTGCGTGCTGAGTAGTAACCCTGGTTTCTTTTTTTCCCCCTTATTTTGTGTTTGTCATGGACATCCACACATATATCCTTTCTGTCTCTTTAATAGTCAGCAACGAACAAAGTACTGTACTAAGTATATATACATTACTTTTACTGAAGTGACTTGTCAGTATGTCAACATATAATTTCCTATACACACATACACACATAAACACAAACTTGTAAAGAAGACACACACAGACAGGCCATGAAAGAAACACAGAGGCTACACTAAACTAAGTGCGGGCTATAAGGATGAACTGTGGAACAACTTCTTACCCGTAACTTGAGTGCATTGATCTGAAGGCAGCAATGGTAAAAACAACACAAACACAATACAGACAAATGGAGGACAGATGAATGACAACAAAGGCAGAATTCTTGATACACCTATTAACATGAAGACTGGTTGTTACAAGTAAATGCTGTAGTTAAGGTACTTTGTAATCTTTGTAGTCAGCCTAACAAAAATCAAAAAAGAACTGGGTGGAGAAAAAGATAGAAATTGGTGATTAAATGTCTTTAATAGCATAGATCCTTCTGTGTCAAAGCAGATTTGTAATCAATTTCAAACAAAAGCAGACAGATTACGAAAATTTGAGGGAGCAAATGAATGTCCAACCTGTAGTATGACAAGTGCATTCTCCATGGAGAGGTCATCAGACGGCAGCCCTTGACTCTTCCAGATCAACTGCTCACTCTCAGAGCACAGGAATGACCGCAAGTCGAACTCTGAAACAAACACACACAACACAAATGCACACTCTTATTTGTTGCTTTTATATTTACTCACTGAAAAGGAGGTTTGTAAATTTAATCAAACCTCAGCTACACTTTATCAGTAAATAATCTTGGCAACCAGCTTGCGGAGAAGCCATTCGATGGACATACAGATTTAGAAACAATAGTGGGTCAAGTGAATGACTCAGCTGCTTGGGATTTACATGGATATCTGAAAAGAGGTTGACAAGCAGAATTACATGGTCAAAGCTATAAATGCGACAACAATTAGTGCTGAGACTCATTACACAGGTTAATTTGTGTGGATGGAATATCTGAGTGAAAGAGCTCATTAGTAGTAGTATATTTACTCTGTAGTCCAGACTGAGCCATCCATGTCTCCAGACAGTGTCTTCTACGGTCTTCAGGAGCTGCAGACAGATAGGTGATGAAGGCTGCAGCCAGCATGGCCCTCATAGGGAGTGTGTCCAACTCATTCTTTATCTCAGACATCTAAAAAGAGAGACACAAAGAGAAAAGAAACAGGCAAGATAGGGGATGGGGATGGTGTATGACAGGCAGGTGATTAAGGTGAAAAAAGTATGAAAAGAGAAAGACAAGACAGGGAAGCGCACCACGAGGATTGGGAGGAATCAGAGGGAAGAATGTAAAGAAAGGTAGGAGTGAAAGAAGAGAAAGGTAAATGAGTAAGTAACTTGGCCCATGTGGGCATAGCATGACTCATCTTTCTTGAACAAACGAATTAACTGTAAACCCAACTCAAAAACAAACCCAAATATACCAAAAATTTACAATAACACAAGATATAAGTAAGCCACAAATGCAGAAACATAACAACACATGCACATTGAGAGCAAATGTGACATTACTGCTGTTATTTCTAGGTTAATCAGGATTCCTCTGAGGTAGTCTAGAGCATGTCAGGGAATCTCAAATGCACACACACATCTGGTGAATAACTATTCATTCTATACTTCAGTTTAAAACATGAGTCTATTTCTGCACCATTTACTCTGTAGTTGCCTCTTTCTATGTGGTTGTCCCTTCGCTTGAAACAACTTAAGAGGCATTAACATATAGTGAACCACGGCTCCTGCATACTGTGCACAAGAGTAGGGGATAAGGTGTGTGCGTGTTTGTGTGGGTATATGAAAATACGTGAATAGAAAGTAAACTGGCTCTTTGGTGCGGGCCTTGAGGGAGGCAGTGAGTGTGAGGGTGTGTGTGTGTGTGTGTGTCAGGAAGAGATTGAGTGTTTTAATTAAGGCGCAGACAGATGCTGTAGAGAGGAGTAAAAACAGCCAGAAGGGACTCAAGACAGCAGGATACATCCCCCTGTCATACACACACACACACACACACACACACACACACACACAAAAACTCAAACATACACACCTCCTGTTGCTCTTACATGGTAAATGAGCCCCTTTCTTAGTAAATGTGTATAACCTCCCACACCAATGCACACATCAGCACACTCATACATCAAACTACCTGTGCGTTCCACCGTGTGTGTTCTCCATCCAGTTGTGATATGAGCTGCTGAGCTGCAGTGATCGTGTCTTGAGCTTTTGTCACCTCAGCCTCCAACTTAGCTGCCTCTGAAGTATGACACTGAAACCTGAGGAAAGAATAAGTAGTAGTAAGTAGGAGGAAAAAGGATCAGTGAGCGCATAAATATATTTGATGTGGGATCATTGGAGATTTCTAAGACTGACATTTTGATATTTGTTTGATTTGCATTAGTTTAATAAACAGACTGTAAATATATCATAATTTCTCTGATGTAAATTTCATTTGTAGCTACTTCCATGTCTTTAAAAGTAGAATGCAAATATGTACATATGCAATGGAATTTGACAAACAATTAAGTGTGAGGTGAAGCAAGATGCCAGGAGAGTAGAGTAGAGTAGAGTAGAGGAGAGTAGAGGAGAAGAGAGTAGAGGAGAGGAGAGGAGAGGCTGGTGCAAGTAAGAAATCTTTCAGTTCAACTCACACAGTTAAGAAATGATTCTACAAAAAAAAGGATAGATCAGATGATAAATGGCAGGGCAGATGGGTTGAGAGAGCATAGGTTGAAGATGGTGAAGGCAAGAGCAACAGACAGAGCATAAGGGCTCAGTCACACTTGCAGTGTGAAGTTCATCTTGGTTGAACTACGACCTGATAAGTAGTGAGACTGGCCAATGTCCAGCCAACTTAAAAGAGGCTGGTAAAGACCTGCCCTTCAGACATTATTGACTGTTTGTATCCTTGTTTATAAAACTACATGGCGAGAAGGAGGGATGCTGTATGGCTGGCAGTGAGTGAAAGGGAAGGCAACTAAAAAAACTGTATAATTTATTTCTTGTGGGATGCTATTATTAGCCTGCTAGCTGAGTTAGGTCCAGAACCCTACCTGAAGGCTGCATTATTTCCAGCCATACCTGCTTATCATCATAGCCTAAAAGTACACTCACTCAGTTCACTCAGGGCGCTCGGATGGCTCACCGGGTAGAGCTGGCACCCAATGTACCACAGCTGAGCCCTTGCTGCAGCAGCCCAGGGTTCGAATCCGACCTGCAGCCCTTTTCTGTATGTCCTCCCCTCTCTCTACCACCCCTTTCCTTCTTCAGCTGTCACTGTCATATAAAAGCCCCCAAAAAAGTAAATTTCAGTCTGTTCTAGTCCTGCATTGCCATAGGACTCCATTTGTGTTTTGTTCTGTTTTTTATGTTTGTTTCATTTCTATTGTAGTCAACTTGAAATCAGGGCCAGTCACAAGGGAATGATCGTCACAGTGAGGTTGGAGAACTAGAATTATGGTTTATTATTGTTGTTGTTGTTATTATTTACCATACAAGTTTTTCCACAGGTGAAATACAATAGAAATGGAAGGATAAAAGGGTGGAAGAAGAGATGGAAAGTTGGAAGGAGGCATACTTCTCTTTCAACTCGTTGACTTTGGCTCCAACAGAGTTGAGCTGGTCCTCCAGTTTATTCTTCCTACTCTCTGTTTTCCTCAGGTTTCTGGACACATACAAAAAAAACAAAAGGTATCTCATGTATGTCTGTGTTTGGTGTGTGTATATGTTATGTTATATATCACATGTGTAAGAGTGCATGACTAAGAGCAGTCAGATTAAAAACCAAGACCCCAAGCTCTTCATGAAAATCATCAAAGTTGGATACATGATGTTTTTGCCCCAAAACTGCAACTTGTTTATGCATATAAGTTGTGACCAGGTGTGTGGCTGTGTGATGAAATCATTCTTTTCTCGAGTGGTGTTTGTGTTTGTCCCTACTCCAGTAGTCCGGCCTGCTCTCTCTCCAGTGGCTCTATCCTCTCTATGACGTGGGAGTATTGGACGTTGGCTTTGACCCAGGCGGCCAGTGGAGCGGCTGCTGCACTTGCACGCTTTGCATTCTGGCCATAACAACAACAGCATCACAAGTCAAAACTCAGTTACAACAACAGCTACAATACCAACTTCCACACAGAAAAAAATCAACAGAGGGTTAATAACATCCACCAACCATACATCTAATTCTTATTCTGCTATCATGAGTAGCTGACCTTGGGATCGAAGGAGGCCTTGTTCCTGTTGAGCAGCTCTTCCACACTCTGGCGAATTTCAGGGGTGATGTTCCTGGCCTCAAATGTAACTATGTCCTCCCTCACACCACGTTTAGCCAGAAAGCTATAAAAAAAAATGGAAAGGGTAAAAACAAGGAAGAGAGAAAGGAATTGACATATAAAGCAGTGAAAAAATTCAGACACACATAAAGATGCTGTGTGTTAGAGTTTGATGTTACATGCAATGGCAATAAAGCAGTAAAGTAAAGAAGTAATAGAGACAGATCATTAGAAAGAGAGACTGGTTAAAGTGACCTCTTATCCAGAAAACAATGAACTCAATGTTAATTCAAGCCTAAAATAATGACACTCAAAGTTTTATTCTCTTTATTACTCATATTTACTCATACAAAAACACACACACACACACCCTCTTTGTTACTTGCAGCGCTCAGAGTGCAGTTGGGTCACCCAATTAACACGAGTCATTAGCAGGGCAGAATGTTTTTTGTCTGTCTCATTCCCTCTAAAGGTGCCCAAGGTCAGATGAGTGATTTGTACCAAAAGCTAATTTAAATCAACAGTGGAAGATAAAAGAACTGCAGATACAGTGATGCAGTACAACTTATTAAATTACAACATATATTTATCATTTAAAATATGGTAAATATACCACAACTGTTTTTTGATACATGGTTTAACTTCTTTCCGGTCATGTGAATCTGTGGTGGGAAAATATAATATGTTTCAATGAGATAAAAAAAATAGCCCAGGTATAAAGATTTCTCCTTCTCTCCATCCTTTCCTAGCTGTGTCAGACATTTCCTCTTTTTCTTCCTCTGTCCTCATCCATCCATTAACACCCCATCCCCTTTTTTTGATAACCCAAAAGGTGCTGAAGATCCTCATCAGTTTTTTTCCAACGGGGCAACTTTCTCTGTATCAATCTATCAACCCTTCTTTATTCACCCTTCTTCTGTCTATCTTTTTACACATTCTTCTCATTTCTTCTCCTCTCACCTCTTCATGCTGACCCAGGAGGTGTCGAAGATGCCCATCAGTCTCAGTACTCCCTCTAGGATGTCTCTGATGACATCAGGGGGCATGCGTAGGGAGCGAATCTCAGACAGAGCTTCAGGCTTGATGTTTCCAACAGCACGCTTCGCTTCATCTACCAATGGCTAGAAGGAAGCAATGATAAGGAGAGGGAGGGATACAGAAGTAAAGAAGGGATATGTACAGCTGCGATGGCAAGTATAGAAAATGTATAGGGCAGTTGTATGTATTGAGTACTTCTAGTAACTGACTAAATAAAAAATCAAGACAACTAACCTGTACTTCCTTTAGCTCGTCATCTATTTTGGCCTTTCTCTCTTCAATCTTGGACACTTCTTGAGCCATCTTTCCTTTTATCTTCTCCATTTCTGTCTTTTGGTCACTGGCATTCTGGATAACCAAAAATATCATGTGATGTTCATTGTGTACAACTAAAAATACAGCCTTCAAATGTTTCAAATTCTGAAACAGAAGAACATTATATTTATATATATAATATAAAGGTGTATGCTCCATTCAAACTTGCTATTTCCCAAGAACCCATGACCCCCGGCCTCTCTAAATAACCTTTTAAATTTTAAATGAGTTCCTTTTTTTCAGTACTTTACTTCTGAGATGCATCAGACATACAGCCAAAGTTTTTCTCTGACCAAAGATGAAAGATTTGGTTTAGGAACAGTCAGAGTAAGACACAATAATTGGGGATGAAAAGAGAGAGAGGATGAACAGTTGGCAGCATCATTTTCCAACACATCCTCTCTCTCACCTCTATATCCCTAGAATCTATCTATCTTATCACATCTCCACCTCATCCAAAGCTAATCTCTTCGTAGACTGTCACCCCATTCTTCCAATTTCCCCCTTGTCAAGCCTTGACCTGCTCCTATATACCACATATTTCCCTTATTTCCGCTCCAAATCTTATTTGGGCTGCTTCCTACTCTAAGTGTTTCCATCTTCCCTAAGCCTCTATCACTCTTCCACCAAGTTTGTTTCGACTCTTCATCTCTCCCCTCCCTGCTGTCTCCATCTCTACAGGAGACATGGTTTCTACAGCCCCAAGGGATGAATCTGGTTGTTAATTATCACTCTGCAAACTCACTCCACTGACAGTTTTTCCTTCTCTTGTTCTTTTGCTCTCCTTCTTTCCCTCCTTCTCAATCAAAAAGCATATTCGCCCACAGAGAGAAAGAGAGAATTATATTGTAACTAATGAATAGGGTTCAGCTTTCTTTTTTCCCTCCGCACATCTATCCATCAATCCATCCTCCTGACAGAACCAGCAGGAGGAAATGGAAACGTGGATATCAGGAGATAGAAAACACTGGATGACAGAACAAACAAATGCGGATATGCACACAAACTAAATAAATCGTGTGTTCACAGTGGGGTAGACAGGGCCATGGGGAAATCCAGAAAAAGTTGCTCGTATAATACAATGGAGATGAAGAGAGGAAGAGTGATTGGGAGAGAAGAGAAGAGAAGAGAAGAGAAGAGAAGAAAGGAGAAGACAAGAGAAGAGAAGAGAAGAGAAGAGAAGAGAAGAGAAGAGACAAGATGGCTAGCAGGGATGAGGGAGAGCTGAGAGAAGAATAGATTTAACTTGGAGGAGACACGAAACCCTGCAGGACCTCCATCCTGCCTTTCACTGACAGAGTTACACACACTGACATACACACAGTCACAAACATAAATATACAAACACAGTCACACACACAGCACAGACACACCTGCATGGAGGTGGTGATTTCCTGAAGGGCAGAATCTGCCTCCTGTTGTTTAGTCTTCAGCAGTGCACTCTGCTCTGCAGCCCGCCTCTTCAACTCATCCACCAATGCCTTAGCTTCGTTCAGCTTAGACACTCCTGCCTGCAGACACAGTTCGATCATAAGATGTGAGAGGCATGAAATATATATATAATATAATAGTGCCCACTTACAGACTGTTGTACATATCTACTGTTTAACATTCTGGTAAAATCCATTTGAAATACATATGTCCCTGCTACGGTTTTCTAAACATGCTACAAAGAAACCAATTTCCTTTTACTTCTATTTACATTATACATAAAACATCTTACCTTACATGTTCTTTGTGCACATGGAGCTTGTACTATAGCTGATATTGTACCTGCAGATGCTGCTGTCTTGTTGTGAGCTGGCTCTGCTTCCGGCTATATATTGCAGTGTAAACATGCAGAAAGGCCATGTACTGGCTGGGTGTCGCACCATGTTCTCTACATGACTCATGGACCATCAGGAACAAACGGCACAGGTCTCCCTGAGCAGACCCTGCTGGGAGCAGAGGATGGAAGAGGCTTGTGAGCAAAAACTGGTTTAAATGAGGTCATGTTCATAACATAAAACACAGCAAAACACAGGTAGACATAATGTTAATACGTTTCTGAGTCACTTCCAAATCAGATAATATAAAAAGAGTTGTATTTTAAAGGGGCAAAATCTGTGGTTAACATACATTTCTTTCAGTGGTAGAAATATTTGCCATTGTGTATATAAACTACACTAATTTAAAAGCACATAGTCTTTTTGAAGTACAGTACAAAAACACAACAATTCTCATTTTCAGGTGATTATACACTAATGAAATTAGTTGAATGTTACAAACTGGACCTTTAATTAAAATGGGTCATCTTCTGAATAATTATAGACTTTAGCTAGAGTACAGTGCGTGTGCGCCTACCTGAGCCCTTTATGGCCTTTTCTCTTTCATTCTCCTCGCCTCCTCCTTCCGTCTTTGCCAGCAGCAACTCAGGAATCTGACAGGATACAGGTTTACACACACAAACACACACACACACACACACACACAGACAGACATAACATGTGAAATTTAGATAGAAAGCATTGATGCATGTGTTAAAAACTTTCTTCTCTGCTTTCTCAAAATAATAGTTTTCAAGTTTAAATTCCAGGTACCGCAGGTAAGCACATTTACTTCTTAAGCCCTGCAGTGATAAGGTCAATATTGGATCTGGACTCACTGGATACCAGTAAAGCATACAAATATCTATGGGGCTACAAAAGAGCAACTGTTACTGATATATCATCAGTCTGGGGTACATAAGTCTGTCTTTTAAATCTTTCCAGGCATAGGTAAATCTACATACTCAACACTTTTAGCCAGATTTATGGATTTTATCAACAAATGCTGATTTAATATCTGTTTTTACTCTTGTTGCTCCTCCTCCACCTCCACTCACCTTCTTCATGCTGCTTTCAGACCATCCTTCCATCCACTGGACAGAACACTTGCGGTAGAAAGCTGGGTTGCTCTCACAGTTGATGGTGAAGTTAGAGTTGGAGCAGTCCATGATCAGAACAATGTGGAGGTTCTGCTGGATTCCTAATGGGGTGTGATACACAATTAGCAGAATAGTTGAATACATAGGGGAGGAGTTAATCATAAAATGACATTTGAGACGCAGTAAATGATAAGGAAACAGAGACAGTAAGGAGAAATGTGAAGATAGGCCCTAGTTTTTGTGTCACTGATTTTGTCCCTTTTAGCCTGTACCTCTGTGACAAAGTTGGATAGGGAAGGTGAGCAGCGAGCTCTTTAGTGGATTTACTTTGACAATAATAGAGCTATTGATTTGATTTTCTAGCAGCAACCTCAACCTCAGTGACACTGCACCATTTTTATAGCACACACACCACCACACAACGAGGAAGCAGAGGAACGGTCAGATACAATCACAGAACAAAATAGATAGAACAATCAGTGGAAAGAAATGACACGTAGACTTTTACAGTGACAAAGAGACCAGAGTACCACATATACCACATAGATGGGAACAGACCAAAATAATAAATAACAGACAGAAAGACAGCGGGGCTGTGTCAGTAGCAATAATTATACAGTACTGACTATAGGAAAAGTAGTTGTAGAGTGGTCCGCTGAATCCATCCTGGGAAGCAGCATCTTTGAGGGAGGAGAGGAGAGGCTCCAGTTCTTCTGGGGTGTACAGACCTGGAACTTCACCTAAACATAGCACACACAATAATAAGCAGTGTTTCCTTACACATTAGCGTCTCTCAGAAGAAACTAAAGAAAAGATAGTAGGGCCAATTCAATTCAATTCAATTCCAGAGGCCAGAGCCTATGATTGGTGTACAGCATAGTTTTTGCTATGATTACCGACACTGTTGTTGTGGCCACTCCAATGCGTGGTTCATATGTATACTCAGCAAGAGCTGCAATTGGATTGTGTCTTATGCTTAAAATATTTAATGCACACATACAGTATACACACATCATACTTATGAGATCCTCCATTAATTACATTCATTCTTATGCATTTTGCTGCAATTTGACCAAGGAATAAGGAATAGTTGAATAAAAAAGAAAACTGAATAGTTTGGCATTTTGGAAACCGGCAGAGACATGAAGCCTGTGGGCTCAGCACATAAGCCCTGTTAAAACCTAAAATTTGTCGTTTTTACACTTCGGTTTGTTTACAGATTAAACAATTGAGATAAAACTGTGAGCTTTAGAGGTGCTGGTATGCAAATGTTGTTACCTTTGGACAGAGCCAGGCCAACTGTTTCACCCCATTGTCAGTCTTTATGCTAAGCTAAGTTAAGTATCTATTGGCACCTGCTACATATTCACCATAAAGACATGAGAGTTTTCAGAACATTGACCTGAAGTGAAAAATTAAAACCTCAACCCTAAAAAAAAAAAAGGTCTAACTCCTTGAGTTCCAAATGGTCAAATCTGTTCTCATAAGAATGGAATTAAGGGAAAACAATAAGGCTGCTCTGATTGAGAGAGAAAGACAATATCTGGTGGATGTTTTACAAGCTTACTGCTGACCAACACAGTAACAGAGCAGACACATACAGCCTGTATATGGAGAGAGAAGCAGAGCAGCCGGTGTGCGTGAGACAGAGGTGTACGTGTGTATACACTATAAACATAAGCCTTTGAATAGACCCAGTCATCGGTGATTGGTTTTGGGCAATACTGTAATAATTCTAACCCTAATTAGAGCACCCTTTGAAAACAAACACACAAACACAATATGTACCTGATGACAGCAGGCTGTTGACCATCTCTAAGAAAGCCGGGTGAACAAACTGATAGTCTTCCAACAGTAGAATCACCTGTTGGCCCTCCAGACCTGCCAGCTGCATCACCTACATACAATACACATGGACACCAAAGTTCCTTTAGAAAACTATCTGTCCATTTATGCTTTAATTGCTAAATACCGGTGCCATTTAACAATCAAATTGGCAATTTAAATACTAAGAAAATTAGGATAGAATTGATGGAACTAAAAAGCTCCCCAGTACACTACAATTATCTCTAAGTGCATTCTGAAAAAACTGGTTAGCTTGGCACAATGTGAAGCGATAAAAAAGATGATCCACTCTTACCGTCTTGAGATCATTGCTGAAATGCTTAAGAGTGTAACCACGGGAGATTTTGGGTGTGGACAATGTGTATCCATGCATATGTGACACCAGGTACGTGGCTGTGTGCCGACCCACTCCACTCCGGCCTGCCAGAAGCAGAGAGCCACCGGGTCTGCTAAGGACCCGATCCACCCTAGACACAAAGTCGCACACTTCCCAGAACAGGAGAAGATCCAGCTCCCTGTTATCACGACTGTACAGCACTACTCCCTAAAAGTACAAATGGGAGGAACACACACAGGTAAGGTGCTGCACCACAGAGACTCAAATGAATACAATGAAATGAAAATAAGAACCTAAAAAACACAAAGAAACACATGAATGAGACACAAAGATAAATGTACCCCAATGCAAAAATACTTCATTACTATGCTATACATCTTTCGTAAATTTATACAAAAGCAATAATTCTTATTATGCAGAGTAGCCTCTTGTTATCATTATATGGGTACTGTATCATATTATCATATTAATGATGTGTTAACATGTAAGCAGCATTTCAATATCGTAGCTAAGCAGCAAAAAGCTAAATTGTACTCAAGTAAATTACTTGGATATATTTTGTTACTGTGTGTGCATATTTAATCCAACAAGCAGCACACACCAGATAGTTCCTCACTGTTTACCTTCTGTATAACTTGCTTTAGGTCAGCAGAATCCAGAAATCCTAGTTGTTTACCATGAGGAGGTAAAGACTGGCCTGGGGCCATTACAGTCCCTTCAGATGCCCCCCATGTCACATAGAAACCATCTGCATGTAGGGGAAATATTATAGACTGTTAGCAACACACTCGCATACGTGCACCTCAAATAACATACAGAAGAGGCTTTCTACAGACACACTATGAGTTGGCAGGCAAGTACAGCATTGGAGCCAGCTCCAACCAGGATTTAAAACCAGCTGCCACCTCCTTAACCCTGCTATTACCAAGGAATTCAAATGTTATTACCTGTGGGTGACACAATGTTCTCGATCAGTGAATGAGAAACATTGTTAAGCATATGGAGTTTTGTTTACAAGTGGCTGGGAGCAGTGAAACCAATTAAAAAAGGATACACATGCTGTATTAATGTCATGCTGGTTTAAAATAAAAAACAGACCATTAGCTGATAATCAATCAAAGAACTGAGCCAATCAAATATTGCTTTCATTCAGGCGCAACCTGAATATTTTGGCCTGACTTGCATAAATAACTAACTAAATAAGTGAACGTCCATTAAACACACATTAAAGTCGTTGCCAAACAAGTTCCCACAATGCTGATTAAGCTTATCACCGCCAGGTAAATATCTGTATTTCACAGAGGAGTTTTAAAATCTGGTGTCTGTGGCGGCATTCCTGTACTGGCACACCAGCAATTGGTTTGCCAGAGATGAAGAGGGAAGTAACCGTAGGAACGGAGTAGGCTACAGCAACTAGGAGTATGGCGGAGCTTAAGGTGGAAAAACCAGCGCCCAGGAAAAGTTTCAAATGGTGCAGATAAAAAAAAAAAAACCTGTGTTCAGAGGAAGGATTATAGTAAAAAAAAAAGAACTCAATCGAGGACAAACTTGGATAACCATTGGTGTAGCTTTCCTCAATGGAGAGCACTAAAAGAAGAGAAGGGATCGAGGGCAGACACAGATATTGCATTACCGCTCTTGGACAGGTTGGTATTTGTAAAATACTGACTGAGTATGTAGCTATCACATTTACTCCACCTTAATAATGGATTATTGTCTTGGAACTGTGAAATTTCTCTGTATTTTTGTAACTATTTCTGAACAAGAGCCTGGGACTTTCTAGAGGGTTATGTAGAATAAGCATGACTCAGCAGTGTAGGTACATGTCAGAGAGAATACAGCCATCTCATACCAGTCATGTTGTCAAGAGCGTCAGAGCTCCAGTCTCCCCGTATGATGGATGAGAGGATGTTATCAAAGGTGTGAAGGTCTTTGGAGGAAACTAGCCGGTCTCTGAACAGCCTCCTGGCCTCGTATGCTACCACCTCCAACACGCTGTCTGTCACATTAGATTGAGCTAAAAAGGAATGAATGAGATACACACACATATTTGGATTAATACCCAACAGGATATCCAAAGACTTGCGTGTCCTGTTATTTACACACAAGATTAGATTTGTTGATTTTGTTTGAAATTAGTTTCTGATCAGAACCTTGAGGCAGCATTCAGCACTAACTCACACTAACAACAACAAAGACGTGGTCACATTTCAGTGGTTCATCTGCAAAAGGCAATTTTTCTGCTTTTCACGTACACAGTAACTTATACAATGAGTATCTGTAGTCTATCCATATCTATCATAGTTGTTTAGGTTTCAAAAAGGACAGACAGAGACACTGTACAGACAGTAGTGACACTATGATTCTGGCATCAACATGAGTCAAAGAGATGTTTTTGGCGGGATCAGGCCTGGCAAAAGTATTTCCCAGGGTGTGACTAAATGTACTAAATTCCCCCAAGTATCAGCTGAGTGCTGCTAGCTAAAAAGAGAGTGCTATAAGGACAAGCCAGAATTGTAGTCTCATAGGCCACCGGCTTCAACAGTGTCTGTCACATTATAATAAAAGAGCTGAAGGAGAGAGTCAAACAGAGACACTAAGAAAAGGAAAACACTTAAAGTGCCAAGTTGTCATTCTAAACCTTGTATATACCTATGGCTTTCAAATGATATCCCTTCCCAAAAACCCGCCTCTGTGGTGATTCTATCACCAGAGCCAATAAAGACAATAAAGCCTAACCGATTCTGGATTTTCAGTACTTATATCAATATTTCAAAACGTTGAAAAAATGTGTAAACAGTATTTTTTTTTTAAAAAACATACATTAACAACTTACATTAAATTTAATTATTAAAGAATTGTGACCAAGTTTTGAAAAACTGCTCTTGGGTGGAAAACTTATGTAAAAGCAACACTGTTTCTCATCTAACACATGTCATTTTGTGTTACTTTTTGGCTGACATATCTGCTGATACTGCTATATCTGTGATAAGCTTAAATGAGCTGATGATATTAGCCATTCCGATGTAAATAAGTAAAACCCTGTGCTATGCTCCAGATATACTGTTGTGTAAGAGCAACACAACAAGAACTGCAGAAGAGAGTCCACTATACCCAACCTCCTTCTCACACTTGGTCTTGGGCACAAATTCAAAGTTAATTGCTCTGGGCAGCATAAACAAGTTGTGAACACAACATTGACATATTATCACCTTTTAGGTTGTTCGGCTATGTTTTTAGTCTCTCCCAAATCCTCAGGGAATTTTAACCAGCTAGTTGCTAACTGTATCTCTCTGTATGTTGGTGCTGGGAAGGTAGTTAGAGTTGGGGTTTTTGTTGAAAATAGTGGAACACAACATTGATTAAAGTGATGAGAATGAACAATAACAGTAAATTTACAGACCAGACAGCCAAACAATTAGCTGAAACTCGCTATAAAACTCATAGCATAGCTATAAATATGGGTGATAAATCTCTGTAGGTTCATCACTTAGTGTGACACCTCTCACATAGTTATTTGATACATTCTTATTGTAAAAATCGGTTATAGCCTTCTTAAATTACAAAACCCTGGAGTTATGACGGGTTGTTAACATCCATTGATGACATGCACACTCAAACTCAGCACAAACATTAACACAGTCACAGAATAAAGATGAAGGGAGGAGGTTTTTACATACCCAAAAGAAGGTAAGCAGCAAGAGGGGAAAAGAAGGAGGGAAGAAGTAAGAGTAAGTTAAAAAATGATGAGCGCAGGAAAAGAGAAGTTTGTCCGCTGACGTGTTTAATTAAAATAAATGATTGGACTCACTATCACAGCAGGAACACATTGCACAAGGAGAGAAAGAGTGACAGAGGGAGAGATGAAAGGACAGCAAAGGGAGAGGATGATAAAAGAGAGGGAGACGAGTCACAGAAAGGAAGTGAGGAAATACAGGAAAGAGAAGGGAAGGAGAGAGATTGAATGAAGAAAAAGGTGAGAGTTGGAGACAGTAGCTCTGAGCAAAAAGAATACTGACAAGAAACTAAGCCATCTGGTGCTGTCTTTTTTGATTCTGGCATCTAAACTGACAGAGTTATTAATGCTTTATTTCTGTCAGCAGCAAAATTATTCTACGTGAGGACTTTGAGGAATTAGTAGAAAACCAGTGGATCATTAAATCCAACTTTCTGTTTTTGTTTGCATACAGCAGTGCCTCTGAATGTGTGGGTCGAAAAAAGGGCCATGAGTCTGACTGTTGAGGGTTCCAACATAACAAAAGTAAAAAGGTTTTTACTTGTTCCCTGTATGTGCCCTTGGTTATTACACTAATCTTACACCTGTCAAAAAAGTACTCAAACACACACAAAGCAATATGTGTGCATTCTTACGTGTGTGTTTGGTTACCTGCAGTGAGGTCATATCGCAGCAGGCTGAGGACCCATTCAGTGAGGATACAGGGGGTAAATAGGTAGTGGCTGTGGTCATCCACTGTAAACTTGGCTTTAACCTGAGAGTAAAGATACACAGGGAGATACGTGACACATACATAGAACAAACTTCATTGGCAACTGAGAACACTGTGAATTTATGCTTAACTTTACAGTAATTTGCCAAAATAAGTCCCTTTATATTGCTGCTTTATAAGTATAAAAGGTACCAACAATGATATTTAACCTCTAATGGAACAATTTGTGTCATCCATAGTATCAATTTGGAACTAGCCATACAGGGTCTAATTCACTGATAGACAACTATCCTACAGAACTCCACTCTCTCTCATTTCAAAAAATTATAACCTTTGTAATTCAGTGGCACATTGCAGTTTTATTGAAATACTGCAATATACAAACAGCTCAGGAATGTTTTCCATGTCACCCAACCTTTACATAAACTACAACTTTAGCTGGCAAGAGACCCCTGAGCGACAACAAGGGCATCCAATTATTACTTGAAAATGTCACACAATTAATTATGTGTCATTTGTGACATTAATTAAGTGTTATACACAAAAAAAATCATGCGGGTAAATAAGGGAGCCAGATATGCTGGGTGTAATTGATTTCCATTGACTGTAAATGTATAAAGTTTATCCTGACATTTTCAACTCCTCAAAATCGCAGCATCTAATCTCTATCTACAATACTGTGTAATGCTATACATAAGAATATCTGTAACTTATGTACTATACCTGTTTTATCAACTCTAGACTTGCACCTTCGAAAACACTGCTAGGAACTCGACCAAAACCCATGAATTCAAAGAAGGGCTATTTGCTTTTTAAGCATACAAGGGCCTGGGTGGTGTTATTTTGGTACAAATGGATGTAGGTATTTCTTCCTGATCGCATTCATCAGTCAGCGTTCAGCCTGTGTGTGCTTTTCTTCTGCCGGGGATTCAATGTGGAATCACTCAAATTCCAATCAGAGTTTCCAATGACTTGTTTATGCTTTCAATATCTCAGGCAAGACTATGTTACTCTACAAAAACAAATGTGAACACAAATGAACACCCTTGTTTAAGTCAATACCTGTTCATAGAGCTGCACAAGAGACCCAGCCAGCTGGTGTGTTTTCCCTGTGCTGGCCCAGGATGCCTGGCTGCCCAGGCCATGCTGGAGAACTGGCTGCAGGTATGCTGAGTAGATGGTCTGCAGCTGCTCCCTGTCTGGATAGCTAAAAGGCAGAGGCAAAGAAGCAGAGAAACAGATGCATGCAGAAAAATAAAATGAGAGGGGATCCGGGTCAGAGTTAGAGGGAGATCGACAGCAAAACAGAGAAACAAAGAAAGATGAGGGGTGATGATGGGAAACAAAATTTAGATAGCATGTAGGCAAATACATGCGTAATTACAGGCTGTTTGGCAATGTTTAAAAAAATGTGTAAAGTTCCTTTGCACCATACTTACTCTATAGTGCAGATGCGAACTATGGATGAGAAGCGGGAGGTGAGTGAATGGCTCCCTACAGCACCCCCTGTTGACATGGAGGCCATCACCTGGATGTTCTCAAGACTCACCCACTCCAGATTTTCATCATAGAATCCCTTATATGTCAAAACCTGGAGGAGAGACAGAGAGAGAAAGAGATGGGAGATACAGAAATAGGAAAGTGGAAGATACTAGAGTTGAACGAAAGTAAGACATTTATTGAAGAAGTCTGTAAAAGAGACTCCAAGTGCTTTCCATTTTACATGGAACAGCACATTTTACCCTCACTTATCATTATCATCCATTCACTAATTTATTATCTGTATGTCTTTGTTTATGTATCTCTACCTGCTGCAGGAAGGCAGTGAGGTTGCTGGTCCCCCATTTGTCAGGTTTGGGTAGGTTTATGTCTTTTAGGTAGAGCACCAGGTTTTCACAGTCTTTGGGTCTGAAGACTCGTCCGGTGTTTGAGCTGAGCAACAGGCAGGTCTGACTGAGCTTCTGTAGGACATGGCGAGATGAGGTCTGGGCACTGCAGTGAACTACAGCGACTTGGGTGGACCGCAGCCGAGAGAAGGCGTAGCGCAGGAGCATGCTAGACAGAAATCAATACATGGAAAAAAGGTCAAGAAAAACACAACACTTTTTTTTTTGTTTTTTTTTTCAAAGGTGTGAAGAGACATGGCCTGACAGCTTCAGTCAAATGCATCAATGTTGTAACTCTTATATATCTCTAATATGTTTAGGACTGTTCTGTAACTGCAGGAAAGGATGAGAGGAAGAAATGTGTGTTGGTGCTGTTTTTAGGAACAGACCCAAAGGCAAAGAG